TAGTGTATAGGAATGCAACAGATTTCTGTGCATTAATTTTGTATCCTGCAACTTTGCTGAATTCAGTTACTAGTTCTAGTAGTTTTGGGGTGGAATCTTTAGGGTTTTTTATGTACAGTATCATGTCATCTGCAAACAGTGATAGTTTAACTTCTTCCTTGCCAGTCTGGATACCTTTTATTTCTTTGTGTTGTCTAATAGCCATGGCTAGGACCTCTAGTACTATGTTGAATGAAAGTGGGGAGAGTGGGCATCCCTGTGTTGTTCCCAATCTTAAAGGAAAAGCTTTCAGCTTTTTGCTGTAAAGTATGATGCTGGCTGTGGGTTTGTCATATATGGCTTTTATTTATGTAGAGGTACTTGCCCTCTATACCCATTTTGTTAAGAGGTTTTATCATGCATGGATATTGAATTTTGTCAAATGCTCTTTCAGCATCTATGGAAATGATCATGTGATTTTTGTCCTTTTTGTTGATGTGTATGATGCTGATGGATTCGTAGTTTCCAGTTTTTGGCTGTTATGAATAGACCTGCTATGAACATTCATATCCAAGTTCGTTTGTGAACAGGTTTTTGTGTCTTTGGGATAAATACCCAAGTGTACAAATGCTCAGTTGTACAAGTCCGGTTTTTAGTTTTTAAAGGAATGGACAAACTTTGTTCCAGAATGGGTGTACCATTGTTTTATATTCCCACCAGCAATGCATGAGTGATCCAGTTTCACCACATCCTCACCAACACTTGGTGTTACCACTTAAAAAAAAATTCTTTTTAACCATCCTGATATGTATCCATCACCATCACCACTGAATTGCTCTTGTACCTTTGTCTAAAGAGCACAGATGTGTGAATTGATTTCTGTGTTCTCTGTTCTGTTTTGTGTGTCTTTCTCTCTGCCAATACCATACTGTTGATTACTCTGTACAGCAATAAGTCTTTTTTTAAAATTCACCAGTGAATATTTATTGAGAATGTAAAAGGTATTTTTTTGGAAGTGTAATTGACATACAGTATTTTGTGAGTTGCGGGTGCACATCATAGTGATTCTGTATTTTTATACATTACAAAGTGATCCTTGAGGTAAGTCTAGTCACTTCACAAAGTTATGACAATATATGTTTATATTTTAAATATATGCTCAGGTTTCACTTGAGCAACATTGTGGTTACTACATTCCCCCTATTATCAAGTCCCCACCACGTACCCCATTACAGTCACTGTCCATCAGCATAGTAAGATGCTACAGAGTCACTACTTGTCTTCTCTGTGCTATACTTCCTTCCCTGTGCCCCCCTTATATTATGTGTGCTAATCATAATGCCTCTTAATCCCCGAATCCCTCCCTTCATACCCACCCTCCCCAGTCCCTTTCCCTTTGGTAACTGTTAGTCCATTCTTGGGTTCTGTAAGTCTGCTGCTGTTTTGTTCCTTCAGTTTTTGCTTTGTTGTTATACTCCACAAATGAGGGAAATCATTTGGTACTTGTCTTTTTCTGCCTGGCTTATTTCACTGAGCATAATACCCTCTAGCTGTATCCATATTGTTGCAAATGGTAGGATTTGTTTTCTTCTTATGGCTGAATAAAGTTATGACAATTTTAATGAGTATATTCCCTATACTGTATATTACATCCCCATGACTTATTTTACAACTGGAGGTTTGTACCTATAATAAGTCTTGAAATTGGATAGTATAAATCCTTCAACTTTGTTCTGTACTAGTATGTTGGCTTTTCTAGGGCCTTCCCTTTTCAGATAAACTTTAGCACAAACGTGTGTGTACAAAATACTTCGCTGGTATTTTGGTAGGAATTGCATTAAACCTATATACATAGTTGACTTGGGGAGTATGACATCTTTACTATGTTGAGTTTTCTAATATTTGAATATGGTAATAAGTCTCCAATTATTGTGGTCATCCTTGCTTTTTTTCATCACTATTTTGTAATTTTCAGCATAGATCCTGTTCATATTTTACTGGTTTATACCGAAATACTTCATTTTGGGGGAGCAATTGTAAATGATAATTGTTTTAAAATTTTGGTTTTCATTTGTTGTTAGTATTAAAAAATGCAGTTTGTTTTTGTATGTTGATCTGTATCTTGGAACCTTGCTAAACTTTCTTATTAGTACTAGGAGCTTTTCTTGTGGGTGCCTTAGGATTTTCCTTATAGACATCATGTCATCTATAAATAGGAACAGTTACATTTCTTTCCATTCTGATTGCCTTTTATTTCTTCTTCCTTTATTATGGTGGCTAGGGCTTCCAGTAGTATGATGTTGAATAAGGGTGATGGGAATGGACATCCTTGTCTTTTCCCCAATTTTAGAAAGAAAGCATTAGTCTTTCACCATTAAGTATGTTGTCTGTTAAGTTTTTCTGTAGATGTTCTTTATGAACTTAAAGAAGCTCTCCTGTATTCCTGGTTTACTGAGAGCTTTTATCATGAATAATGTTGGATTTTTAAAACATCTTTTTCTGTGTCAATTGATATGATCATGATTTTTCATCAGCCTGTTGATAATAGTACATTGCATTTATTATTACTTTTTCTAATATTGTATCAGCCTTGAATACCTGGCTTCCATACTACTTGGTTGTGGTATATGAGCTGTTGCTGTATTTGATTTACTAATATTTTGTTAAGGTCATGAGAGGTATTGGTCTGTAATTTTTTCTTTCTTATAATACCTTTGTCTGATTTTGATATTGGTAATACTGGCTTCATAAAATGAGTTGAGATCTGTTCCTGCTGCTTTTATTCCTGGAAGATGTTGTAAAACTGTCAGTGTTTTGTAAAATTCCCCAGTGAAACCATATGGGCCTGGAGATTTCTTTGGGGGAACTTTTAAATTACAAATTTGATTTCTTTAATAGTTAACAGGATTATTCAGGTTATCTGCTGCATCTTGGCTGAGTTTTTCAAAGAATTTATTCCTTTTTTCTAAATCGTTGAATTATGAGCTGAAGTTGTTTGTAGTATGCCCTATGCCCTTAAATTTAAAAAAATTTTGACATGAAACTCATGTAACATACAATTTGCCATTTAAAAAACAAGTCATTGTTTTGGGGTACATACACAGTGTTTTACAGCCACTGTCTAATTCCAGATTGTTTTCATCACCCTAGAAAAAAAATCCTCTATGCATTAGGCAGTAACTTCCATCCTCCTTTTTTCCCAGCCCCTGACAACCACTGATCTATGATCTGTCTCTGAATTTGCCTTCTCTGGACCGTTCATGTAGATGGAGTCTTAGAATAAAGGGTCTGTTGTGGTTGGCTCATGTAATGGAGATAAAGTTTTCGTCCATGTTGTTCATGCATCAGTGCTTGCTTCTTGGCTCAGGGCTCCGTCAAACTGACCTTTGCTTTCATTGCCCATCTCCTCTGACTCTGACTCTCCTGCCTCCTTCTTTTAAAGACCTTTGTAATGACATTGGGCCCACCTAGATAAGCCAGGATGGTCTTCCCATTCTTAATGTAGTTATATAACACTTGATGTAATTGTATAACACATAAAATAATCCTTTGCCATGAAGGTAAAATCCACAGGTTTTTAGGATTAAGACACAGACATCTTTGGGGTTGGGAAGCCATTATTCTACTTGCCACATGGACTTCAGATCTGTTATTATTCTAACACTGCTCCCGAAGCTCTTGTTCTTTTTTTCAGTCTATTTTCTGTCTGTTGGTTAGATTGAGTAAACAATTGATCTTGTCCTCAAGTTCACCAAATTTATCCTGTCATCTCTACTCTACAGTTTAGCCTATCCAGCACATTTTTTATTTTGGAAATTATATGTTTCAGTTGTATAATTTTGATTTGGTATTTTAAAAAATAACATCTTTCTTTGCTTAGATTTTCTTTTTATTTGAGAGAATTCTTAGTTGTTTGTTGAAGCATTCTTAAGGTGGCTACTTTAAACCTCTTGTCAAATAATTCTAACATGTGATTGATTTTGGTATAGGCAGCACAGTGATTGTCTTTTCTCATCCAAGTGTGTTTTCCTGGTTCTTTTTATGACATGTGGCTTTAAAAAATTTGTTTTGTATCCTTGACATTCAGGACTTTAACGTTGGGGCCTCATTCTCAGTAGGCAGTTACCATGTTTAGGCTCAGTGCATAGTTCCTGGCCTGCTGTTGTGGGCTGTGTAATTCCTATGGTAATTTGATTTCAGAGCTCTCAGTGCTGGTCTTTTCTGCTTTGTTCTTCTGGCACCACAGGAATACCTGTTTGATTGCTACAGTTGGTGACCTGGGTTGACTGGTGGCTATGGGCCCCCAGCCCTGCTACTACCAAGGGCAGATGACTGGGCATTGCCCCAGGTGCGGGACAGGGACCCAGTTGCCCCAGTTGAATCTAGCCTGCTGCTGTCTGGGTAGCGGTGGAAACCCTGTCAGTGCTGATGCTGTGGGGCTTGACCCTGCACTGTCCTGGGTAGAGTTTGAGGAATCTTTCTCCCCTGTTGGGTTCTTCTGAGCTTCCCTTTCACAGGCCTATGGCCCAAAAGCAGGGTTTCTCATTTGTCTCTATCCCTGTTGGTGGCTCAGGGTTGCAGGCTATTGTGGCCATTATGGGTGGATGGGAGATGAAAGGACAGCCCCGTGAACCACAGAGATGCTTTCCTGACATCCTGAGGTCCCTAGCCAGCCTACCGTCTTTGTGCCTCTCAGTCATTCTATGCTTGTCAGTTGAATTATTTCTAGGACATTTAGTTGTATTTAGAGGAGAGGGGCAGGGAAGTGTGGGCCTATGCCATGGTATTCTAGCACTGGGCCCTAGTGAGCTTGATCCCCCAGTGGGACTCATTGGCAGTTCCATGATGGGGCTGAGGCTCTTGCTTTTACTGATACCCCACATTTTAGAGTGTTTCCCTGTATCTGTTGTTGAGGATGGGAACAAGAGGAGGGTTGTTCTTTCCCTGTAAATTAGGTGAAAATTAGGAATGTCATGTTTTGATCTGATTATTTATTTGCTCATTTATGTATTTATCTTCAGGGAGTGGAGCAACAGCTGTGGTCCAAGCGGCATATTGTGCCCCTAAAAAGGAGAAAGTGGCAATCAAACGGATAAACCTTGAGAAATGTCAAACTAGCATGGATGAACTCCTGGTATGCATGTCTCATTTTTTATATGGAGAGAGAAACTCTTGAATATTCATATTAGAGTGGGAGGTAATGTGAAGTTTTCTATTTTTTTTTAAAGTGCAATTTCTATATTAATAAGTAATGGGTATTGTAAAATTTATAAAAATTGGGTAACTGAAGAGGAAAACACCTTTGCATTTTATGGTAATGATATAATTGCTCTTTTCATTGAAAAACATCATAGAATTTTGTATCTACAAATGTTAAAGTTATTTTTATTATGAATATAGTATTCCATTGAATAGGCAGACAGCACTTTGTTCAACCTATTATTGTATTCGACAGGTCACCTTGTTTTCTCTTTTTGTCATTACAAATACTGCTCCTCCCTCTCTCTACTCTTAAGGTAGGATTGTGCAGTTTTGATTCCTGGGTGAAATGGTGCATCCTTTAAAATGCTTTTTGCCTCCAAGGGACAGGATGCTGGTCTGCATCCAGATCACTGGTGCAAGATGAGTGATAGAGTGACCCCCAGGCAGCGCTGGCTTCCCCAGAGGCGAGGAGAGAGTCCCTCGAATCAGTAGCTGTAGGAGGTATTCTGTAGTATTAAAGTCTAGCCACACTGGGACCATTTTGTACTTCTTTTTTGTATCATGACACCCAGAGTAGTTTTAAGTATATCCTATGTGCTCAGCAAGGGACGTGGGATAGATTTTCAGATCATTTAACTTTCTAAATTCTCAGTTTCTCTGTTTAAAGTGGAAATAATAATATCCGCTTTGTGTGCCTCATGAGGTTTTTCTTGAGGGTCAGATGATACAGTATCTGAAAACCATAAACTGCCATACAAATGTGAGCTAACACTGTTTCTTTATTAAGGAGCTGCTCTGAGATCATGTGCAGCCAGTGATAGAGCAGAAACTAGGACTGGGATGATCTGGCAGTCCAGAAGTTTTTCCACTGTCCCAGAGTGAATTTAATTTTTGGTGTAGTCTGTACTGAATATTAGGAAATTATTGGCATAAAAGGAAAAGAGGTAATAGAATTATATACCGAACTTTCAGCAGATACAAAAAATGCATTTTCTTAGGAGTTGGTAACACAGGAGCAGAAGCTTCAGGGGTGGTTGCTGGAGTGATCTTGAACCCTGGGTTAAAGGACACACCTGACTGGGTGGGTGCCCTGGAAGCCCTCTGATGATCTGGGACTTACAGATGCCAGGGGTTCCTTAGGGCACCAATTGGACATTTGAACTGCAGTGATTGTTCAAATGTAAACTGAATTGTAAACAAAATCTCTTTAAGAAAAACAAAATTTTCAACCTATATATTGAGACTGGAATCTGAGCAGCTCAGCACATGTCATTTGCATTAGTTTAACCTAATCCATCAGGAGAGTGTAGAGATGAAGGTAAGTCTTACTATTTATTACTTCATGATTAAAGAAACTGAGGCTCCAAGTTTAAATAACTTGGCTGAGTTCACATGATGTTTATAGTGAACATTTTTTCAGTGCCAGACAGTTAAGTGTGCTTGACCCTGTAAACAGCTCTGTGAGACAGCTCATCGCTCCATTTTATAGATGAGGGAAGTAAATTTATGCTAAGTGACAGAGTCTGGATTAAAAATCAGATCTTTGTGAGTCAAGTCTGTTATTTTCAACTCCATATAACAACAACAAGATGATTATGATCTTAGTTCAAGAATAGAAACAACGTATCTTCTCATGTCATTGGACATTCTTGAAAGTGGTGTTTATGTTACTACACTAGGGCCTTCCTTTCAGAGGAATGTGAACTTTATAAAGTTGGTAAGAGAAAAAATTGGTTATATGGTCCAGTAAGCTTCACATTGCAAATACAGTCTTTGTATATTTGGCAATAGGTGAGAAAGACGAAGTGACTTTCAGTAGAGCAAGTTAAAGATAATAGGCTCTTTGTGTGTGGGGGGTAAGCAGGTAAACATGTAAGAACCCATTAAATCCTGCAAAAACATCAGGATTGTAAAGGACGTCTGATTTACTTGTGGTGTCTGTTGTTTCGGGACCTGGGGTCTGACTATGAATGGCACCTTTTTTGAGAGAGATGACCCCTTAATTTTACCTAAGAAAAGCCTGTTAGATCAACTACCAAACTTTTGGTGTTATAATTTTAAATTTATTTGAAAACTGTTATTATTATTAGAAAAGGTACAGAGTGCACTGGAAATGAATGGGATTACAGGTCATACCGTGTGTGCCAGACATGAATGAGGAGGCAGCGTGTTGCTCCTTTCTTGCCAGCTGTTCTCCTGGCTGACACTGCTAAGTGTGATGGGCACGCCAGCTGTCAAGTCTCACTATGCTTGTTTTTTTTTTGTTTTTTTTTTTTTTGAGAGGGCGTCTCTCATATTTATTGATCAAATGGTCGTTGACAACAATAAAATTCTGTATAGGGGAGTCAACGCTCAATGCACAATCATTAATCCATCTCAAGCCTAATTCTCGTCAGTCTCCAGTCTTCTGAAGCATAACGAACAAGTTCTTACGTGGTGAACAAATTCTTACATTCACTATGCTTGTTTTTTATAGGGATTTTACTCACAGACTTTTCTCTAAAACAGGCACTCTGTGCAGTGTTCTGAGCTTTTTCTTTTCTAGGTAGATGCTAGGACTGGAGTCACTGGACAGATATTCAAGCGGAATGTTAACACACTTAAAATGTTTCTCTGTCTACCTTAGACACTCACTATCTAGGTGAAGAGCTAAAGCTCTTGTTTGCTATACAAGAAAGCGGGACAGATGCCTGGGGCAGCTGTGAAGTTTGGATGAAGTAAGAGAAGGAGCCCTTCTCAGCAAGGAGGTCTTTGTGGAGATGTTTGTGTTCTGAGCCACCAGGGAGGAGACTGGATAGACAGGGATGGAGACCTGGCAGGCAGGGGGTTAGAGTCAAGAAAGAGTTCTTTTATACATTATTAATATTCATAAATGTTAACATAGCTGAAACAAATCTTGATAAAACAGTTCTTCATTATATCATGTAGAATGCAGTCTGATGTTCTTTTTTTTTTTTTTTTTTTTTGTTTCAAGCATTATCCACTAAATTTATCTCATGACCCATGTCCACAGTTGGAGGTACACCAGGCTACACAAAGCAGTATCAAAATGAAGCTGAGGCAGTGACATGATAAATGAAAGGAAGAAATAGATCCCTCAGAATTCATAGATGGAAAGTTGCTCATTTGAAAGTTAGCATTTTGTGTGGTCAGAGCCTTGATTTTATTCACTCTGTATGAATGAATGAATGAATCATTGGACATCACTTGGAGATGACTAAATTGGGTGAAACTGCCTTCATCTGGGCAATCAGAGAACCAAGGAGAGGTTAGAAGTCAACAGTGAGTGTTGTGAGAGTGTGAGACGTCATCTCTGAGGAGGGCCTCAGGAAGCCTCAGGTGAAGAGCTGCAGAGTCCAGGTGGGAGTCCGAAAAAATGACTCCCAAGAAAGCCCTTATCAGTAGGGTGGCATTCACTTCATGTGTTGAGGTTGCTGCTGGAAAATGGGAGTCAGAATGAAAGTAGCACTCTTGGAAAGTACTTAAACACAAGCCTTTTTTCTGAAAGGAAAGGGAAAAGATAGCCCCAGTGGAGTTACTGTAAAGGAAGGTCCCTCTCTTCCTTTTAAAGGGATGGAAGGAAAGGAATATTTCAGGCCCTTTCAATCTTTGAATTTTATAGGTCTTTGTCAGTCTCATATTAGAAACCCTTTGTGGAGCCCCCTTTTCCAGGATGAAGTTCAAAAGCCTTAGCTTAACATTTAAGGACAATTGGACCCCCACCTTCTGGCATTAATCTCTCTCTGCTGTGACTTCAGTCTCTCAGCTCCCCCATCCAGTTGGGCACCAAGTCCCATTGTTTATATCTCTTGAGTATTGTCTCTTGACTCTTCCCTTTCTTTTCATTCATATTGCCACTTTTTTAAAAAAAAGCCTTCTACTTGGAGAAGGTTACAGAATAGTTGCAAACGCATTACAGAAAGTTCCCATGTGCTGTTCACCCAATGTCTAGCAGTACTATAACCATAGGACAGTGAGAAATTCGCAATTCATCATTTTTCAGGCCACTGTTGCCCTCACCCAGGCCATGGTAGCAGTCTTAAACAGGGTCATTGCCTTTAGTCATGCTTTCTCTTTTTTATTTTCTACATTGCAGCTAGAGTAATTTTTGAGAAACTATATATATAACCTTTGATGCCTTTCCATGGCTGGACCTTTATGATAGGGTCCCAGGTAATTCAAGAGTCAAAAACCATAAAAACCTATATTCATCTTTCCTACTTCAGTAGCAGTGCAATAAAACCTCTTAGAGGAAGCCTTCTCTGATTACCTCTCCTCTTTTTTGATAATGTGCCTCTCTAGTGAAATCCTGTAACATCTACTACTTCCCTGTCAAACTGTTGATCATTTGTGTTGTAAATTAGTATACATCTAGTGTTTTCAGCAGACTATAAGTTTCATGAGGGCTTCCTATTGTGGCCAAGCACCATGTACTGTGCCTGGCACACAGGAGGCACTTGGTAAATATCTGTTAAAAGCATGACCTACTTACTCTAGGCTAGGTGTACTTTTATGTCCTGAAATATGTCTTGCATATTTTGTCTCTTGTTGTGGTAATTATATATGCCTCTCACCTGGTACTGCTCCAATTTCTCCATGTCCTGCAGAACTAAATCTAGTTCCCACCTCCTCTGAGAAGCCTTTCTGCTTACCTTAACTGTTCTTCCCTATGAATTCTTGTCACATTTAATGTCTTTACATCTGGCCAGTATAAGTGTTCCTGTAATCCCTCTTCTACACACACACACTTTCTTCTCTCCTTGAGTCCAGGTAACTATGTCAGTAGGCAGGCGCTCACTATTTAGTCTTTCCTTCCTTTTCCTTCCTAGTCCCTGAGCTTTTAGTACAGAAGACTGCCGGTGACTTTGGGGGTAGCAGAAATGCATACAACAAGGTCCTTGCTGTGAAGGAATTTACGTTCAAATAGAGAAGCTGAGAAAAGAAAAACTAGCGTTTATCAAGCACTTGTGAATCAGGAATTATATGCAACTTTTACAGGATTTATCTTACTGAACAAATACCAAGGGCATAGGGCAAGTACATGAGTAAGTAAAAAGCTACATAAAGTGTTGTAGCATTCATTTAGTCAACAAATATTTATTGAAGGTATTCTGTACCAGGCACAATGGTAAGGGCCAGGAATACGGAGTCTTAGCTCTGTTTGAACTTAAAGTTGTGTGAGGGATGCAGAAAAACAAACAGGCAGTGACAGTATAATATGATAAATTCCACAGTGTTTAGGGATCTACTTTTAAGTACTTGCTTTCACAGAGCTGTCATTCTAGCAAGGAAGAACAAACAAATGAGCACCTAGTACATTAGGTGCCATGAGATATTCAGGGACCTTGGAAGCCAGGAGACACCTAACTTGAGCTGGCTGAGACGAAATGATATTTTGCTGATATCAGAGGGAAGAATTGGTATTTTTAGGTCAAAAGTAATGAGGTAAGTGTATTTGAGGCAGAGGGAATAAAAGGGTTAAGTGTCCATGGTTGGAAGAATGGCTTACTTGAAGTTCAGGATGGCTGCACCATAGGACTGGGGTGTGCTGGGGTAGGGCTAGTGAAGGGAGGGAGATGAGGCTAGAGAGGCAATCAGGGCCCTGATCATTCAGGGCTTTACAAGGTGTTTTTTTTACCCCAAATCCAATTTAAATTCACAAACTGAGATAGAGTGAGCTTAGAGTTGTGACTCAAGTTCCTACTTTGAATTTAGTTTATGATCTTGCCCTATTTCAGTATATTTCTCTTTAGAGTGAGAATTGTTTATCATTGCACTAAAATGGGATGAAACAATATTTTGAAAACAAAACTCACAAACATAAAACCACCTTCTGTTGATTAGTAATTATCCTCTGTTCCTGTAAAACCAGATTTTCCAAGATGTTTCTTCAAGGGAATCTTGAAGTGAAAGTGTGTGTCTCAGGGGAGCCCTGTGTGGTGCTGTGCAGGCTATGATAGTAGAGCATGTTTTTAGTCTCTGAAATTACTAGTGTAAAGAGGAGTCAGTGAACTGAGAGAAACTAGGTAGGTTTTGGTTTAAATACTCAGAGGTCTAGGCCATGGAGATCTCACAAAGGTTGTGATATAGTCTTGGAATTCCCAAGTCATGATTCACTAACTCATAGTGTTGTCTTAGACTTGACATAATGAATGATCATGTTTTCTCTTCTTTGTAGAAAGAAATTCAAGCCATGAGTCAGTGCCACCATCCCAATATTGTGTCTTACTACACGTCTTTTGTGGTAAAAGATGAGCTGTGGCTAGTCATGAGGCTGCTAAGCGGAGGTGAGTGGAATGCTGTGAAGTGTTAACATCCATGGGTTGGAAAATTAATAAAGGTGCCCTTTTTGTCCTGGCTTGGTTTTCATGGACATTTGCATTTGATAGTGTTAGTATCTTTCAAGATGCTGAGAGGTCTCACACACTACATGAGGTCATCATGCCTCTTAGATCTCTTAAACTATACTGGTTCCCTCCTTCTTCCTCTCTTCCATGACATAAACTAGTTGAGGGCTCTGGTCTGAAGGGTCTGATGATAACTATCTTGTAGAATATTTCACATTTTGGATTTATCTGGTTATTTCTTTTTGGTAATGTTTAACTTGATTTACATTCCTTTATTTCTTGCAAATTGAAAGTTAGACCTAAAGGCTAATTAACTTCAATTAGAAAGGAGTTAGATATTTTGGAGCAGAATATTTTATAGGTGGTGCTGTGTATTTCATATTGCATCACAATAGGAAGAGTTTGCTATCTGGTTGTATTTTTAATAGTGATATTAATTTTGATTGCTTAAGGTTGTGCCAGCCAGGCTTCTCCATGGAAAGGGTAACTTTTTTTCCCTTTGTAGTTAGCAAGTAATCTATGCGGTGATACTTTGGCACTATGAGTATCCAGTTACCCATAAATCTTTCCTCTCCTGGTTTCAGCATCCTTTAACAACCTGTGTTTCTGTCAGAGGTTGCAGAATGGTGGTTTTCTTACTGCATCTTTTTTTTTTTTACATTTATGAACTGGCATTCTTCTGGGTAAAGAAACTTTATTAACTGGGGCTCTGATTAATCTGTACTGTGGTTCTTATTGAAAATGCAGGAGAAATAATTCTTCTTTAAGGACCAATTTTCAGAGTTAAGAGCTGGCTTAATAATCATCTCCAGTGGTGGTAAACGAGAGGTTTTTTTTTTTTTAACTCCCTTTTGCCAGTTGTGGGACGCTTTCATTTTTTTGAGTATTATATAATCCCAAGGATTTTTGTGTATTTAGTGTCTTTTAGGCATTATACACTGTTCTTTTGATGTCCAAATTTTGTCAGTGGGACTCCCTTGAAGTTTACTTGTGTCCTTTTGACATGAATCCATCAGTCTTTGATTGGTTCCTTGTTTTCTGGTTCAAAATTTCCTAGGCTCATGTTTACATTGCTTTTCCCATACTCAGAGTCAGCCAGTACTGTAAGGAGCTCTGGACTTTCTTCTGGGCAGTGGTGTTCAGGAAGCATAACTTGGATGTTGGATGCTTTTGCTACTACTATTGTTGTCATTGCTTCCAGGTGAAAGAGCTCAGGAATATAGCATATTGAAAGTAAATCATGATTTGACATTTAACACTTCTAGTTCAAGATTAACATTATGGACTTCTGGAACTTTCTAAAAATTCTACATGAATTTCTTTTCTCTTGCACAGAAAATCTTGATCTCCATTATTAACAACATAATTAATTATGTGCTTCATCCTGTAAAATATACATAATTATTTGTTCCTGAGTCCTTAGAATGTAAGTATTGCTGATTGTAGAGAGTAGCCCATTGGCATGTATAGCTTGAACATTTCATTAGGTTACCTGAAGGCCTCGCCATGTAGTAAGTTAGACATCTTGCCAAGGCGTGGATTTGAATTTGTAGTAGTAGTAAGATTGGGAGGACTAGTGAGTGATGGATCCATCCACCCTTCCCATTACTGGTCTGCTTGGATTTTGTTTGCGTATGTGTTTTGTGTGGGAGCATGATTTTCCCTTCCAGATTGTAGGGTTCCAGAAAAGAGAATCTGTGTGTGTTTAGTTGGCAGTTTTAATACCATACTTCCCTGACACCTCCCTTCACCAGAAAGGCTGTATAGAGCATAGACTTTAGGGTTGAATTCCAGCTTTCCTACTTAGCAGGTGTATGTCAATTGGGCAAACTGTTTCAACTCATTGAACCTCTTTACTTTTCTGTTCTGTGGGGACACCTTTTGCATTTCAGGGTACTGGGGAGCAGTAATGTGATGACATGTGCAAAGCATCCACCACTGTGCTGACATGTGGTAGGTGTATGAGAAATTTTAGTCATTAATAATAATAATCCCTTGTTATTTGATGCTTTTCAGTGTAGCCAGAATCACCTTTTTGTTTCAATCCCATTAGTGACACACTGGAGAAACTGGATTGCTTTGTTAAAGGCCCTATTCATATGATGGTTGGAATCCTTGCTAACACCAACCACCTGTCAAGATGGTGGTCAAGCATGGTTCTTTCAGTATGGACAGATATGGGAATATTAGGTAATATTGTATCTTTCGTTATTGATCACCTATAGCATAATTTTCTTCATTTGTCATTTACGAAACTGTATGATACAAAGTTTTTAATGTTTTGCTCTGATGAACAGGAATAAATTATCTGCTTAATTCTCTCACTCGTACCTGTGTGCCAGCCCATTCTGCTCTGTAAGCAGAATTTTTTTTGTTTCTTGTTTTTTAAGAATCCCTGTTTCTCTTGCAGTGAGTATATGTCCTAATCACAGAAGGAGCAGCACATGTTGCTAGGTGGAGTGTCTTTTAAATGTACCTGTCTGTCCTTTCTGGTTTTACGTTTCCTGGGACAGTGCCCAGTTTTTCCAGATTAGCATTCAGCAGATCTACTGTAGAATAATCTTCAAACATGTTTCAGTCATTAACTCTTTTTGTAATTCCTTAAATGTTTTAGTCATCATAATCTCCATCTAAATCTTTTAAAATACTTTAAAAAGTTTACATCTTTTTAGGAAAATGAAATCTTGGTTTTTTAATTATAAAGTGAATAAACATTTAAAGTGAAGTGATACAGTACACAATATTTAGGACACAAAAGCCAGAACTAAGCACAACTTCAAAATGTTTTTAAAATAGAAGTAAAATGTGCCAAGATCGAAAGCTCAATGAAAATGCCATTTGTCAAGTACTTACTGATTATAAGTATGTTAGTGAATCAGTCTGTCAGTTAGTTCTTTGCTCATATTGGCCTTATGGCTAATAAGGAAACATTACCGTTAAATAATTAGAAATGTGTAGGGTGCCATGCAGAAGTATCAGGTGCCATGGGAACAAGCACCAGGAGAATGTAACCTTTTTGTGGGGGAATCGATGCAGTGGGGTTATCAAAGACTTCACTCAGGAGGTGGTGATCAGCTGAGACCTGATGATTGTTAGCCAGGTGAAAAGGGAGTAGGGTGGTATCAGGGCAGGGTGGGACAAGGGATCCAGGAAGGGGAACACTGTGTAGGGGAAGGTCTGGAGCAGAATGGAGGAGTGTGCTGTGTTTTGGGAACTGATGGGGTCCCACAGCTGGAGCAGGGTGAAAGGAGTGATAAGCAGGTCTCTGAATCATTAGGAAATATAAATAATGAGAGTTAACAGAAATCTGTACAGGCTACCTTCTTTCACATCAGTGTTTTCATCCAAAATATTTAAAAGGAAAACATATATTTGATTTAGCAACATTGTACTTTTGTAGAACTTAATAAGCTGATTAAATTGTGATTTGCAACTGTCACTCTTAGACCCATCAGCCAGGTGGTCATCATGGTTAGAATGAGTTCACTTAAGTGTGTCAATATTATAATCATTTCATAATACTTCCTTATAACTATAATATTATTATTATGTTTTGCTAATTAAAACTCTGATGTTGAATGTTGGGATTTGTTAGTATAGGAAGTTAATCTTTAGAAATTAGAAGCACTTTTGATCTAAATAACTGTTTCTACAATTTTTTAACACCAAACTGCAATATAGAATTTTAGAAAACAAAATAATTAAGAAAGCGTCTGAAAGGAAGAGAGAAAGGAGTGCTTTTAAGGACTTAGCAGGATGAGTTCTAGACATGGAGGGTCTGATTCAATTTACTGTCTTAGTGAATTGCTTTGTTGCCTAGGGATGCTTCCTACTTCTTCATCTGCTAAGATATGAAAAGTGTGGGAATGTAACTCAATCTAAGCAAGACCCAGGTAAAACACCTGGTATGAATTGTGACTAGGTAACAGTGGAGGGTCTTTCTTTGGTCTGAAATGGGATACTCAGACCAAGCCAATTTGGCCCCCTTGAAAACTTCTGTGGCTCAGGAAGACACACACACTCAGTGCCTAAAGATGTGTAAAATACTGCTAACTAAAATGACTGAGTCAATTTTGGACTCAAAGGGTGTTATTTCATAAAAGTAAGCTGAGGAAATGAACATGTTGACTGAATAATTAATTTGAAATATAGTTAACAAATTTAACAAGTGAGTTAAACTAGCAACTGCTTTACTGCTTTTTAAATATTTCATATTTAGTAATTTTCTTGTACAGTTAAAAGTTTTGCATTGTTTCTTAAACTTTCTGTGCCACAGGCTGTGAAGGTAGACATGAGATGGGTTTTGGGAATAGATCTACATTTCAACTTTTTGCTTTGTTACAAAATTTGTTCCAAATCCCTCCTGTTTTCCATTATTTAATTTATCTCTTTTACCCTGAGAAATGCTTGGATTTCAATGGACAGTGTCCATCAGGCAGCCTGACTTGTTGAAATGCATATTCTTGGGCCTCCCTTTGACCTCTTGAATGACAGTAAAGTTTGAGAACCGGTTATGCCTGTAGGATTTTTTCCAGGTTGTGCCCAAGGACGGCACTGTATGTGCTGTGAGCATAGCCTTCCTTCACTATTCCTGCTGTTACTTGGATGTTAATTTGAACATCCAGTGATAATCTTTTGCTCAGCGTATTTACCTTCACCTTTCTTTCTCTTAGTTGATGTGAAGAATTCTGTGTAATTTTGATATTTGAGGAGGGAAGATTGTAAGCATCAGTCATCACGTTAGATGCTGAAGACACTGAGGATGTCATAGAAGAGAAGTGGTGCCTTCCACAGCCTGTGTTTGTCAGTTCAGGGTGAAGGTCTAGTGACATGATCATTCCTCCATCTGTACAGATTATACTATTGGGAGACTGAAACTGCTAAGACATTGTCATGCCAGGGAAAAGGGGCTCCTTATACAACCTTGCTTGGAATGTCTGTTCTGGACATAATAAATTGGGGATATGCATTGCTTTAATTTCCCTGTTGATCATTGGGTGATGTGAAATTAATACTATTGTTAGAAGAATTTGTAAAGAAGTATCTGCTTTAAAAGCTTTAAAAATACATAACTTTTTATATGCACTAGGTCTTTGTTGCTTCATTTCTTTGATCCACCAGACTGGAAGCTCCCTGAGAGGCAGCAGTCATATCCCTATGTATCTTGATATTCTCTGGCATCCAGTTCTAGATCTTGCATACAGTATAGTTTAATTGTTGAATGGGTAAATTGTGTTAAGTTTTCCTACTAGGAATTTTTCCCTTTGTATTCCTTATTGTAGATATTCACATTACAAACATATCAGTAAGTTGGCATTTATACAGATGTCATCTTCTTACTAAGCAATTTCTTGTGTGACTGGCCTGCTGTTGCATTCCCTTTGCTTTGGGGATGAATTTTTGATTGATGAAGCTGAACAAAGCTGCTCCCTCAGGCCTCCTCCTTTGTGGATCACAGTCCTGTGAATTCCAGCAATAGAGAGAAGAAAGTGTGATCATGTGTTAGGGACAGTTACTTGGAACCTGGAGCCTTCCTTGTTGTTCACTGCTGGGGGCCTGGCTTCCAGAGGGGAGAGATCTGGGATTTTGTCCTCCCATAAGTGAACTTTGAGCCAGTTTTCCTGCCTTACCCTTCTTTCAGTTCCCTTCCCTCCCTTCAGATCCTCCTCTGTGTGTGCTTTCAGGGACTTTCTGGAGCTCTAGAAGGGATCTACTGTTCTCTGCAGGCATCAGCGGTTCCAATTTTCCTTCTCAGCTTAAGTCTGTTACTTGCTCTGCTTTCCTTCTTCCAGGAAATTTTTTTTCTCTCTTTGTTACCTACTTTGTTTTCTCTTTCATTCTGGTTTTACACCCTTTTTGGTGAAGTTTGTCAAGTTAGTGGATCTCGGGTGGAAGCAAAGGAAATGTGTTCAGTCCTCTGATGTTTTAGAGGACTCCACCTAGACCACTTTTTTCTGTTTATTTAGGAGTAGTTTCCCTTTTTAAATATGTAAAATAAAGCACCCACTAGGGCAAGTTTTTCACAGAATGTGTGTTTTAATTTTAGTCTTGATCATTGAGGACTTGTACCAAGAAATGGGCATACAGTCTTTTCTGTGCAGTTCATGTTATGTTCCAGACGTCTCAGTCCAGTTTCTAACATTGGGGATATTTTTGTTTGGTTCTGTGGTTTTTACAGGCCATCAGACAGCCAGAAATCTTCTGAATCTTTAGCAAACTTTTTTTGATGATAATAGTTACGATAGTCTGCATTGTGTGATTTTAATTATTATATAGAAGTCTTTCCCTCCCTCCCCTTGAGTTTTAGTAGGAGGATTATTTCCCTCCCTGGGAAGAATGGGATTGTTACATCTGGGCTGTTATTTAAAGAGAACTGCCTTTCTCATACTTTTCATATTTTTCTTTGCCTTTTCTATTTTATTTCTGTTACTTATTAACTTGGAAAATAATTTTAACCCTTACATTAGTTTGCATGCACATGTGATCTTTCCTTTCCAACTATTTCTTCTCTAATTTTACCTGCATTTCAATCATATTTTTTGTTTATTCATACAACATTGCATACTCTGATTTGGTGCTGGAAGCCTAAATTGATTGAAAGTGTATACGTTATACTGAAGTTTTATTGATGGGCATGGTTACCTAGGGTATACCTATGAAGATACCTAAGGTATCTTTAGACATGGTTAAAAATCCTCTACTGGCTCTTCCATATTCTCATAGAAGTCTAGAGGAGATGCTGGTGCAAAACTATGCACTAGGTCTTTGTTGCTTCATTTCTTTGATCCACCAGACTGGAAGCTCCCTGAGAGGCAGCAGTCATATCCCTATGTATCTTGATATTCTCTGGCATCCAGTTCTAGATCTTGCATACAGTATAGTTTAATTGTTGAATGGGTAAATTGTGTTAAGTTTTCCTACTAGGAATTTTTCCCTTTGTATTCCTTATTGTAGATATTCACATTACAAACATATCAGTAAGTTGGCATTTATACAGATGTCATCTTCTTACTAAGCAATTTCTTGTGTGACTGGCCTGCTGTTGCATTCCCTTTGCTTTGGGGATGAATTTTTGATTGATGAAGCTGAACAAAGCTGCTCCCTCAGGCCTCCTCCTTTGTGGATCACAGTCCTGTGAATTCCAGCAATAGAGAGAAGAAAGTGTGATCATGTGTTAGGGACAGTTACTTGGAACCTGGAGCCTTCCTTGTTGTTCACTGCTGGGGGCCTGGCTTCCAGAGGGGAGAGATCTGGGATTTTGTCCTCCCATAAGTGAACTTTGAGCCAGTTTTCCTGCCTTACCCTTCTTTCAGTTCCCTTCCCTCCCTTCAGATCCTCCTCTGTGTGTGCTTTCAGGGACTTTCTGGAGCTCTAGAAGGGATCTACTGTTCTCTGCAGGCATCAGCGGTTCCAATTTTCCTTCTCAGCTTAAGTCTGTTACTTGCTCTGCTTTCCTTCTTCCAGGAAATTTTTTTTCTCTCTTTGTTACCTACTTTGTTTTCTCTTTCATTCTGGTTTTACACCCTTTTTGGTGAAGTTTGTCAAGTTAGTGGATCTCGGGTGGAAGCAAAGGAAATGTGTTCAGTCCTCTGATGTTTTAGAGGACTCCACCTAGACCACTTTTTTCTGTTTATTTAGGAGTAGTTTCCCTTTTTAAATATGTAAAATAAAGCACCCACTAGGGCAAGTTTTTCACAGAATGTGTGTTTTAATTTTAGTCTTGATCATTGAGGACTTGTACCAAGAAATGGGCATACAGTCTTTTCTGTGCAGTTCATGTTATGTTCCAGACGTCTCAGTCCAGTTTCTAACATTGGGGATATTTTTGTTTGGTTCTGTGGTTTTTACAGGCCATCAGACAGCCAGAAATCTTCTGAATCTTTAGCAAACTTTTTTTGATGATAATAGTTACGATAGTCTGCATTGTGTGATTTTAATTATTATATAGAAGTCTTTCCCTCCCTCCCCTTGAGTTTTAGTAGGAGGATTATTTCCCTCCCTGGGAAGAATGGGATTGTTACATCTGGGCTGTTATTTAAAGAGAACTGCCTTTCTCATACTTTTCATATTTTTCTTTGCCTTTTCTATTTTATTTCTGTTACTTATTAACTTGGAAAATAATTTTAACCCTTACATTAGTTTGCATGCACATGTGATCTTTCCTTTCCAACTATTTCTTCTCTAATTTTACCTGCATTTCAATCATATTTTTTGTTTATTCATACAACATTGCATACTCTGATTTGGTGCTGGAAGCCTAAATTGATTGAAAGTGTATACGTTATACTGAAGTTTTATTGATGGGCATGGTTACCTAGGGTATACCTATGAAGATACCTAAGGTATCTTTAGACATGGTTAAAAATCCTCTACTGGCTCTTCCATATTCTCATAGAAGTCTAGAGGAGATGCTGGTGCAAAACTACTATTTGGATATTAGCAGGCTGTTTCTGTTTTAGATTGGGGGGTTGGGATATGGGAATAAATTATTAATTTTAAACTTCTCTGTTTCCTTATATTTGCTAGTTTTTTCTTCTCTTTCATACACAATTAATTTATTAAATTAATTTACATGTGTTTTGATTTCAAAATGGCTGTGAATTACATTGTATGAGTTAAAGTTTATGGAAAACTTTGTCTTCTGTTTCCAGGTTCTGTTCTGGATATTATTAAACACATTGTGGCCAAGGGAGAACACAAAAGTGGAGTTCTGGATGAGCCTACCATTGCTACAATACTCAGAGAAGTGTTGGAAGGGTTGGAATATCTGCACAAAAATGGGCAGATTCACAGGTATGTACAAGGTGACATCTCTTCCTGGTAAGTGCAGAGGCAGTTGTGCTGTGTCATTTCATTGAGGCCAATCCCTATCTTGTGCACAGTCATAATCTGACTGTATCACTAGTTTCAGCACATTGTGGTTAGGGTTTTAATTACATTTAGTAAATATTTAAAAAGTAACTACATTTTAGTCCAGCTGAAAAATATGAAAACAGGAACAATACATAATTTCTTACCAGGAGGCAATCTCTGCAATTATTGATAACATTTTATTATACTCCTTTCCAATTTCTTTTGTGTGCTTAAAAAATATTTAAAACTGTGTATATAATTTTGTCATGCTTTTTTGGTTTCTTTTATATCATGTTGAATATTTTCTCCAATTATTAATAGCTTTTTGTAAGATAGCTAACTTTATTAATTTTTTAAAGTAAAATAACATTTAAAAAGCTGTGTAACATATCCTATTCAAGTATTTCTGGTAATCTATATCTGTTCAGTCCCTGAGTACAGATGACAAGAATTGAAATAGTGGTAGATTTTATGTTATCTGAATCTGTTTAGTCTGGATTTGTTTTTTCCTCATTTGAGAGAACATCTTTGTTTTCTCTTCATTCTGAAGGATAGTTTTGCTTGGATCTGAGAATTTGCAGTTGACAGTGTGTTTCTTAAAGTGCCTGAAAGATGCTCTGCTACTTAATTCTGGCCTCTGTGTTTTCAGATGAGAAATCTGTTGTTTGAATTGGTGGTCTACAGGTAATATGTTGTTTTCCTCTGATTACTTTCAAGACTGCTTCTTTGTGTTTGGTTTTCAGATGTTTAGTGATGGTATGTCTTAGCCTGGATTTCTTCAGGTATATCCTGAAACTTCTTGAATCTGTAGGTTTTTGTCTTTCACCAAATTTGGGAGGTTTTCAGCCATTATTTCTTTGGGCTTTTTTTAAACTCATGTTTTTCTCTCCTCTTGTTCTGGGACTCTGATGATACAAATGTTAGATGTTGTGTTATTGTACCACAATCCCTAAGGTGTGGTTCATTTTATGGTCAGCCTGTTTTTCCTCTGCTCAGGTTGAATAAATCCTGCTGATTTGTTATCAAGTTCACTGATTCTCTCCTTTGTCCTCTCCATTCTGCTATAGAACCCATCATTGAGTTTTTATTGCAGTTCCTATAGTTTTAGTTCTATAATCTTAATTTGGTTCTTTTTTATAGCTTTTATTTCTTTGCTGAGATTTCCTTTGTTCTGATAATTCCAGATTGCATGTTGAAGCATTTTTATGATTTTGCTTTAAAGTTCCTGTCAGATCATTCCAACATCTGATTCATCTTGGTGTTGACAACAGTTAATTATCTTTCTTACTGAAGTTATTCCTGATGCTTGGTGTGATGAGTGATTTTTTGTTTTATTGTATCCTGGATGTTTTAGATACTATGTTAGGAAATTCTTGATCCTATTTAAATAGTATATTTTAGCAGGCAATTTTACTCTTTAGGTTTAGTGTGTAGGTCTTGGCCTACTTTTGTGGGCTGTAGTTCCAATGACAGTTTGACTTAGAGAGCTATGGCACTGCTGTTCTGGTTTGTTTTGTTCACCTGGAACTGCTGGGGCTCTCTCCACTTAGTCCCTGTTGATACCGGGACTGGGAGCAGAATGCACTTTCCTGGGCCTGGTGCTTCTAGGTAGAAGGTGGGAGACAGGTGCTGTGCACATGGATCTGTGAGTGCTTCCTTGACCTATCCTGTGGGCCAGTCTCCATGGTGCCAGTGGGGCCCCCATTCACTGTCTGTTGGTATTGTCTGTGAAGGCGGAAGGTCTTCTTCTTGGTTACCCTATGCTTCCAGGTGGAGAGTTAGAGAACACTGGGCCTTGGATTGTCCTTTCTGAGTATATTTTGGACCAGGAGGGGCCAGGCCAGGGTTGCTCTCTAGTGCTGGGTGATGGGTTTTGAGGTGCTGACTGGGTAGTTGGTGCTGCTGGTGTAAGCAGCATGGGCCTACCTGCTGCCCTGGCTGTGGGGTGGACAATGGAGTTTCCTGTCCGGTTTTCATTTACTGTTATATTGTGGCACAACTCTGGTTGTGGCATGGTGGGCAAGCCTGCACCTCTGCCAGGTCTGTTCCAGGCTGCCAGTCTCCTGCTCCTTTGCTACAGAGAGCAAACTTGAACTCTAGTGTTTAGTCCACAGTATGAGATTAAAAGAACACTCAGGGAAATGGTATAGTGTTATTTGAAAGTAGACTTGAATTAGTTGGTAAATGCATACAGCAAACTCTAGGGTAACCACTAACAAAAGAAAAAATAATTAATATGCCAAGGAAGGAGAGACAAATGGAATCAAGAAGGCAAAAAAAGAGTGGAAGACACAACAAGATGTAATCTTAAAAATCACCTACCTTTAAGAATATAGAAGAACTAACCCAGAGTTAGCAGAAGTAAATCAAAGGATCAGAGCTGAACTACATGAAATAAAGACTAAAAAGATAACAGAAAAGATCAATGAAATGAAGAATTGTTATTTAAAAAAGATAAGCTGTTAGCTGCACTCATCAAGAATAAAAGGAGAACTCAATAAAATCAGAAATGGAAGAGGAGATATTTCAATTGATAACACACAAAAGGGTTGTAAGAGACTACTATGAACAATTATATTCCAACGTTGGACAACCTAGAAGAAATGGATAAACTCTTAGAAGTATATAACCTACCAAGACTGAATCATGAAGAAATGGAAAATCTGAACATACCAGTTGCTAATAAGGAGATCAACTCAGTAACCAAAAACCTCCCCACAAATGAAAGGCCAGGTCCAGATGGCATCCTTGTGAATTCTACCACACATTTAAAGAAAAATTAATACCAGTCCTTCTCAAATTCATCCAAAAAATGAAAGGAGAGGGAACACTTCCAAACTCATTTTATAAGACCAGCATTAATTACTCTGATACCAAAGCCAGACAGGGACACTTAAGAAAAGAAAATTACAGGCCAGTATCCCTAATGAACATAGATGGAAAATAATACTCAATGAAATATTAGCAAACTGAATTCATCAGTACATTAAAAGGATCATCCACCATGATCAAGTGGAATTAATTCCAGGGATGGTTCACTAGCCACATATCCATCAGTATGATACATCATATTACAAAATGAAGGATAAAAATTGTATAATCATCTTAATAGTTGCAGAAAAAGCATTTGACAAAATTCAATGTCGTTTTGTGGTAAAAACTCAACAAACTTAAGGGTACACACCTTAACATAATAAAGGCCATTGTATGACAAATCTACAGCTAACATCATACTTGATAATGAAAAGCTGAAAGCTTTTCCTCTAAGATTAAAAATAAGACAAGGATGCCTACTCTTGCCACTTGTATTCAACCTAGTACTGGAAGTCCTAGCCAGAGCAATTAGACATGAAAAAGAAATAGAAGGCATCCAAATGAAAAGAGAAGAAGTCTATTTGCAGATGACATGAAACCTGTAGAAAACTCTAAAGACTACACCAAAACACTGTTAGAACAAATAAAGAATTTCAATAAGTTTGCAGCTTACAAAATCAATATACACATATCTGCTGTGTTCCTGTACAGTAAGAATGAACTATCAGAAAGGGAAATTAAGAAAATATTCCCACTTACACAATTGTATCAAAAAATAAAATACTTAGCAATAAATTTAGCCAAGGAGGTGAGAAATCTGTGCACTATAAGCTAAAACACTGATGAAAGAAATTGAAGAGGACACAATAAATGGGAAGATACTCTGTGTTCATGGATTGCAAGAATTAATATTGTTCAAATGTCCATACTACCCAAAGCAACCTACAGATTCAGTGCAATCCCTATAAAGCTCCAATAGCATTTTTTAGACATGGAAAAACAATTCTAAAATTTGCATGGAACCACAAAAAGATCCTGCATAGCCAAAGCAAACTTGGGAAAGAACAAAGCTGGAAGCATCATACTTTCTGACTTAAACAATATTACAAGCTGTAGTAATCAAAACAGTGTGGTATTTGCATTAAAACAGACACAGTAGAAGAGATTACAGAACCCAGAAAATAAGCCCATGCATACACGGTCAATTAATTTTTAACAGGGAAGCCAGAATTTGCACTGGGGAAAGGATAGTCCCTTCATGAACAATGTTTGGAAAACTGGGTATTTGCATGCAAAACAATGAAACTTGTACCCCTCTTACACCATACACAGAAGTCAACTCAAGATGGATTAAAGATTTGAATTTAGGACCTGAAATCGTCAAACTCCGAGAAGAAAACTTGGTAAGCTCCTTGACATTGGTCTTATCAATGATTATTTGTATTTGACACCAATAGTAAAGGCAGCAAAAGCAAAAATAAACAAGCAGGACTACACCAAACTAAAAACCTTCTGCATAGCCAAGGAGACCATCAACAAAATGAAAAGGTAGTCTATGGAATGTGAGGGAATATTTGCAAAGTATGTATCTATGAAGGGGCTAATATCCAAATTATACAAGGAACTCACATAACTTAGAGGCAAAAAAACCAAATAACCCAATTTTAAAATGGGCAGGGCCTGAATAGACATTTTCCAAAGAAGACATAAAAAATGTCCAATAGGCACATAAAAAGATATCAATTCCACTAATCACCAGGGAAATGAAAATCAGAACCACAGGAGACATCACCTCACACCTGTGTTAGGATGGCTATTATCAAAAAGACAAGAGATAACAGATGCTGGTGAGGATGTTGGAGAAAAGGGAACCCTTGTGCACTGATGGTAACAATGTAAACTGGTGCAGCCACTATGGGAAACCATATGGAGGTTCCTTAAGAAATTAAAAACAGAAATACCCTATGATCCAGCAAACCCCCTTCTGGGTAGACACCCAAAGGAAATGAAATCAGGATCTCAGACACCTGCACCCTGATGTTCATAGCCGCATTATTCACAACAGCCCAAGATTTGGAAACAACCTAAGTCTTCTTCAGTGGATGAATGGATAAAGACAATGTGGT